CTGGTCTCCAGTCCATCACAGAAACACCCTGGACTGGTCTCCAGTCCGTCACAGGAACAGATAGAGACCAATGAGACAAACAACCATTCACTCTCACCTATGGGGACAATTCAGAGTTACCATCAGCCTAACATGCATGTTTTTGGTCTGGTGGAGGAAACTGGAGTACCTGGAGAAAACCCACGCAGCACCGAGAGAACATGCAAACTCCACCCAGAAAGACCCCCCAGCCAGAATTTTAACCAGTGTCTTTTTTCTCTGAGAGGCAACAGCTCTACCAACTGATCCACCATGCTGCCCAAATATAGGTTTTTACCAGTGAAAATGCTTAGATTAGGTTTAATAAAGATATTTTAAATGCACGCGTCTCAATAGAAACTAAATTCTCAAATTAGAAGGATTTTAGACAAAAAGCTGGGCAGCGATTGAGCACACGTGTTGCCCCCACACTTTGAACAATAGGAATACAGATTAGTTTGTTTTACAGATGCCTGTGTTCAGCTATCGGTTGTCCGTTTTACACTTGTTTCTTTTTTACCAAGCCATCATGGATGTGATGTGAATTCAATGAAAAACAATGTGTTTCACACCTGGACGTTGGAAAGATTAATGTGGATGAAGTTTGGAAAGCACTGAAGAAGGTGAAGGCAGGAGGAGTCTGGGGGAGATGGCAATGAGATTTTTGACTTGATTATTCAATGGCATTTTGGAAAGTGAGGAAATGTCTGAGGAATGGAGGAGAAGTGTGCTGGTGGAGAGGACTGGTTAGACAGGAATATAAAGAGATGCAACGTAGGGCAAAGAGGGAGGTAGCAAAGGTAAAATAGAAGGCGTATGGTGAGTTGTACAAGAGGCTGGACAATAAGGAGGGAGAGAAGTACTGGTGAGACTGTGGGATCAGGCTGGAAAGGATGTGCAGCAGCTTAGGCTTGTTAAAGGTAGAAATGGTAACAAGTAAAGAGAGTGATAGAATACTTTGAAGAATTATAGATAATGAAAGGGAAAAATGTAATATATTTGTCTCAAAGATGCTCAGGTTAAAATATATATAATCTCAAAAAAGGCAGTAAAATAAGAGTCATCCATGTCCTGATGCTCAATAATCCAGGTAGGAAAATATAACAAGGTTAAGTCAGGTCCTCTGGACAGATTCTTGT